TAACACAATAATGAACGATCAACTAGAGCCAAATTCACAATCAAGATTGTTGACCTCAAACACTAAAAAACCATGATTAATAAAAAAGAAAGAAAATATGTGGCTTGTAGTCAATATCTTTGCATTACCCTCAAATGACACAAATCGGTGATATTTATAGTGTTACATGTGAAATAGTAACCATTGGATGAGAGAACACGTGGCTTCATCTCCTTTGCCGAAGTATTACACCTTAGTCATCAATTTTGACTCCACAAGCCAGTGGCGCATTAAATATCCCAAAAAGGAGATGGCCACCCTATAACTTATGCTGAGAAGATTGACCTTTTTACTTATTACAACAATCCAATCAATCATTTTAGTAGGATTTTATAAATTCAAGATTTTCAAACGTGGATATCATCCCCAGCCTTAGTTGAGCCTCGGATTGGACATGGCTACTTCGACAAAGAACTTTGTTTGGACCTCAAATTTGTCTTTAGCATAGGGGCTTCAGGCCAACTTCGTGAGCTACTTCGGTATGAGTGGACTTCGGCGGGTCGGATTGTCTAGACTCTAATAGGTCCTACACCACGTCAGATGCTACATGGTTTCAGCGGAAAGTGTTTTGGCGGGTTGGCTAAGCCATGTGGGAGCCTAAGTGGTGAAACATAACAATAGTCTCCCAATTCCATGTATGATTATTCATGTCATGCGTGAACTTCCATCTCGAGCCAAATTTCTTTAAAGCGTGTTTTCCTATCACAGTCACGTTTTTGACCAACACATGAACAATATACATTTAAGGGGCTTGGAAAATACAATTTTAAAATAAACAAACATTTTTTAAAACTTCAAAAATCACGACAAAATTAAAATTTATTAATTAAAAAAATTAATGATTAAATTAATAAAGGCCACAATACCATACAATTTATGGTTATAATTTATTACTAGTTACAATAAAAAATTGTTTCAATCACAAATCACAAATTTCATAAGTCACAAGTTATTTTTTGGTCACGAATTATTAAATTAATTGGCCACACATTATTTCTCGGTTATAAATCACAAATTTTTAAGTCAAAATCTATGTCAATGTCACAAATTATTAAATTAATTGGTCACAACTTAACAAATAGTGAATTGCGATTATAAATTTGGTTGCAATATCACATTTTTTAGGCCACTCATTATTTATTAGTCACAAATTAACCAATTTATTATTCACAATCACCTCATCCCACCCATCCATCTTGGCACCAACCAAATTCTACACTGTCGCCTCACCACTAGCACCACTACATGAACTATCACCATTTGTGATTGCCACCGCCACCTATCCAACACCACAATCGTTGCACCACAATCCTCCGCAAACTACCACCATCGCCATCACCTGACCATCATCACCTGCACCACACCACCATTTGTAAAACACCAACAATCACCCCCAAAACTCTGACTAGTCAGCAAATCTGATTAGAAAATCACCCATCAACAAACCACCCTGATATGATCCAGGATAGGCCCTGGGTGATCGAGAGTGCAATGTTCATTGAGAAGTGGTTAAGGGCGCATTCGAGGCTATTCGGGGTCAATAATGTTGCATGAATTGTTAGTTCAAAAACAGAGTAAAAATTTCCTTTTCGTGAATAATTTTAATTTGACTAGGATTTCTCAGTTTTGGGAAGTTTTCATATTTTTGGATTCTTAATTACGTTTTTACTATAATTTTAGGGTTTTAGTATAAATAGGTTATTTTCTGTCATTGTAAAGAGGACACTTTTGACATAAATATGAAATTGAGAATTTCTCTATAATGGTTCTTGAATGAACTAACGAACTTATCAAATATTGTTAT